TCCACACAATCAAATGCTTTTGCATAGTCAATAAAACACAGATATAATTTTTTTTTTTTTTTTTGCATTCAGCCAAGATCCATACAACATCAGCAATGATAGCCCCCATTCCATGCCCTCTTCTAAGTCTGGGTTGAATTTTTGGCAGTTCCCTGTCAGTATACTACTACAATTGTCTTTGAACATTTTTCAGCAAAATTGTACTTGTGTGTGATATTAATGATATTGTTCAATGATTTCCACATTCTGTTGGATCACCTTTCTTTGGAATAAGTACAAATATGGATCTCTTCCAGTCAGTTGGCCAGATGGCTGTCTTCCACATTTCTTGGCATAACCGAGTAAGTGCCTCCGGCACTGCAATCATTTGTCGAAACATCTCAGTGGGTATTCCGTCAATTCCTGTTGCCTTGTTTTCCACCAATTCCATCAGTACAGCTTGGGCTTCTTCCCTAAATACCATCAGTCCTTGATCATATGCCACCTCCTGAAATAAACGAACATCGACAGATTTTTTGATACAGCGACTCTGTGTGTTCCTTCCATTTTCTTTTGATGCTTCCTGCATCATTCCCTATTTTGCCCAGAAAATCCTTCAACGTTGCAACTCGAGGCTTGAATTCTTTTCTTCAGTTCTTTCAGCTTGAGAAATGTGACTGTGTTCTTCCCTTTTGGTTTTCTAACTCTGGGTTTTTTACACATTTCATATCATACTTGACTCTGTCCTCTAGAGCTGCCCTGTGAAATCTCATGCTCAGCACATCATTTCTTTCATTCACTTTTGCCGCATCTTCTGATCTCCTCCAACCTCACAAGGGGGAAACAGAGTCATCACCGAAAGCCCAAGGCTTACTCCTGTGAGGCCAGACAGGCCCCCACCTTCCAGCCTTTTACCAGTTCTGACACCAAGCATCCCTCCCACGGCACTCACTACTTCTCTGCTGGGTTCGATAACTCATTGGTGGCCACATAGAACCCACAGACAATACTCACGATGATGGAGTTTATTAAGGAAGTAACAGGAAGTAACAGGAAGTAATCAGGATACAATTCTTCAGTGAGAACAGTCTCCCCTCTGCTGTGCCCTCAGACACACCTCTTGGGCCCTTGGCCTCTCCGCCCAGCCTCTGCCCCGCTTGGGCATGTGTTACAAAGCTCTTTTAGCTCCGCTGATAGGTGCACCCCACTCGGCCAGCAAGCCCCCTGCCTAACAGCACTCAGCTTTCTTGCTCCATGGGCTGGGAAGCCCACTGTTCTGTCTCGTGCCTCTTAGCTCTACTGCTGCCGTCTCTCAGCCAGGCGTCTCTGCTGGGGTATCCCTGCCGGGGCGTGTCTGCCTAGGAGGTCCAGTGCAGGGATCCTGGGTCCAAAGATGCCCTCTGCTCCACTCTACTTCCAGCTATTGTCTCTTGATGGCAGTGAGATTCCACCCCCCTTCTGCCTCTAGAAGGGCTCATTTTATGCCTGGCAGAATGACAAAACTAACCCATCCTAACAGTTGAGTTTCATATGCTTTATTTGCATGGACCCATCCAGTAATCTAGGAGCTCTGGCTGCATAGTGCCTAAGACATTTGACTGCTAACCAGAAGGCTGGCGGTTCAAACTCACCAGCTACTCCTCGGAAGGAAGACTGGGCAATCTACTTCCATAGAGATACAGCTTCAAAAACCCAAGGAGGGGTTGCTATGAGTTGGAACCAATTCGATGGCAGTGAGTTTGTTTTTTTGTTTTGTTTTGTTTTTACCCAGTAACCTGGTGGGAGTCACAGAGACCACGTTTAGAAAAGCCATCCAAGCAACTCACTGCACTGCACTACTCTCCATTCAAGAGCAAGTTTCAGAGACCCTTCTGACATCCACTTTGTTTTCTTTCTTGTCTTTCTAATGACCTTTTGTTTTCTACATGTATGATGTTCTTGATGTCATCCCACAACTCATCTTCTTTTCAGTCATTAGTGTTCAATGAGTTCCACGTATTCTCAAGATGGTCTCTAAATTCAGGTGGGATATACTCAATGTTGCACTTTGGCTCTTGTGGACTTGTTTTAATTTTCTTCAGCTTCAACTTGAACTTGCATATGAGCAGTTGGTGGTCTGTCCCACAGTCAGCTCCTGGTCACGTTCTGTTGGATGATGTTGAGCTTCTCCGTTGTCATGTGTACAATCACCATTTATGTTGTTGAAAAAGGTATTTGCAATGAACAAGTTGCTGCTCTTGCAAAATTCCATCATGCAATCTCCAGTGTCATTTCTATCACCAAGGCCATATTTTCCAACTACTAATTCTTCTTCTTTGTTTCCAACTTTCACATTCCAATCACCAGCAGTTATCAATACATATTGATTGCATGTTCGATCAATTTCAGACTGCAAAGGTTGGTAAAAATCTTCCATTTCTTCATCTTTTGCTTTGGTGGTTGGTGCATAAATTTGAATAGTAGTATTAACTGGTCGTCCTTATAGGTGTATGGATATTATTCTATCAATGACAGCATTGTACTTCAGGACAGATCTTGAAACATTCTTTGTGACAATGGATGCCACGCCACTCCCCTCCAATTTGTCATTCCCAGCATATAGTAGACCATATGATTGATTCAAAATGGCCAAGACCAGTTCATTTCAGTTCACTAGTCCCTAGGATACTGATCTTAATGTGTTCCATTTCACTGCATACAATAGGACAAGTAAAATCCAAATTTTAAAAAATTAAAATGATGTGGAGTAAAAGAGAGAATCTATTTCCAAACTTAGGCGAATGAAGTTTCTGGTACAGAAGAGCAAATACACTTCCGAGCTTCTTGACAGTCACAGGTGAAAACAAAAACAAAATCAAGCTTGAGAGTTTTTATCAACGTTTTTTGCTGCAAAAGAAAGTATACCATTTTGAGGAGACTCAAACTTTTCCTTGATCACTCGTCGTTATAGAAAGAACGTTGATGTGATCCCAGTCTTCAATGATAATTCTACAGAGGATACCAACTACATGACATTTGTCAACATCAACCATGTTTAAAAAACAGAAAGTGATGCACATTGTCCTTCAGTGATGGCCTTTCTACAGGAAAAAGGTTTATGAGGGTGTGTAGTGGGAGATTTCCTGAATTCTTTCCGTTTGAAATTCTGACGAGCTAATTTCAGTGAAATTCATGAGTCTCTGCTGGAGTCAGCTTTCCTTCTTCATCTTAATCAAGCTCCACATTTCATAACAATCATAATTATGAATAGCATTTTAAACTGCACAAATGTTCTAATTTAAACGATTGTTGTTAGATGTCATCGAGTCTGTTCCAACACTGCCTGACCCTGTGCTGTCCTCATGGTTGTTACTATGTTTGAGCCCATTGTTGCAGCCACAGGAAATCCATCTTGTTAAGTGTCTTCCTCTTTTTCACCACCCCTTTATTTTACCAAGCTGCAGTTCAAACCCACCAGCACTCCTCAGAAGGAAAGTTGGGCAATCTACTTCCATAGTGATACTGTCTCGGGAACCCAAGGAGGGGTCGCTATGAGTCAGATCTGACTCCATGGCAGTGAGTTTATTGTGTTTTTTTTTCCCCTCTAGAGACTGATCCCTTCTGGTGACATGTCCAAAGCATGTGAGATGAAGTCTCACGATCCTCCTTCCCAATGAGCATTCCGGCTGTACTTCCTCCCAGACAGATTTGTTCATTCTTCTGGCCTTCCATGGTATATTTAATAGTCATTGCCAACACCATAATTCAAAGGCATCAATCCTTCTTCAGTCTTCCTTATCTATTGTCCAGCTTTTGCATGCATATGAGGCAATTGAAAATACCACTCGTCAAAATGCTGTCTGGTTACATATAGTAGACTCAGAATCTGAATCCTTTTAGTTTGATATTTTCAACTGGTTACCGAAAGGTATTGGGTCCTGGATTAGATCTGTATCACTATATAGATTAATGACATTAACTGTTGTGGTAGAAATTATTAGAATAGTCAAATGTTGCATGAAATGTATAACTGATGTAATGGCACAAAAGACCAATTTAATGCCTATAAAGAGAATTATGTACATAGATGAGACCCATTTCCCAAATTGACTTGAGCTCGCACCCTGTGCCAATCTTTTGAACATTCAAGTTATTCCTCTAATGTGGCCTTACTGCACACAGACCCCACACCCAGTCTAAGATCACAGAAGCTGAATGCTAAGCTGTGTTCAGGAACTCTAAGTGGCCAATGCCATCAGTGAATAGAGAAACGTGGAGGACATTGTCTCTATGTATTTAAGGGAGGGTACCCATAAGACAAAGGTGCCCTGGTGGTACAGTGGTTAAGTGCTCAGCTGCCAACCAAAAAGTAAGCGGTTCAAACTCAGCAGCTGCTCCATGGGAGAACGTCATGGCAGTCTGCTTCCGTGAAGATTGACAGCCTTGGAGACCCTCTGGGGCAGTTCCACTCTGTCCTCTAGGGGCGCTGTGGGTCAGAATGGACTCCAGGCAGTGGGTGTGG